CTCATTTCTTAAACTATTTTCCTATCAATTAAAATAAATAAGGAAATATCAATTAATAATATTGTGCTTTCTATACCCATATACAAGCCTCTTCACACATTCTTTACTTTCTTTCAAAACTTTCTCAAAATCTAATCTTTCCAAAACACATTATAACTTAGGCGTTAAGTCATATTGCATGATCTCATTAAAAATGAAAGATCCAAGAGGTGGGGCGTGCCACCCATGATGGCATCTTCTGGGCCCCACCTACTTACTATGATGGGCCCATGTGCACAAATGGGCCTCATGTAATTCAAATAATTTTAAAATCAAATAATTATTTTTAGAATTTATTTAATACATTTGAATATTCAAAAATCAATCTTTTTTTTATAAATCCAAATTTTATATATAAACTACCCAGATATCCAAAAAAATTCAAATAACAATTATAAAAATTATATAACATCAAAATAAACACAATTAAATATTTTTTATAGGAAAATGATCCATATGGTTTAGGAATAAATAAATAAACACTGGGGCACTTTACCTTCTACTATGGACTACGATCCACACTTGCTTTCTCAAACCGATCTAGTGTTGTCTATGACCCACAGTCTATGCAAGGGCTCATTAGTGGGTCACCAAAGTCTAGCCAATGTGCAAGAGGTTGTAGTCCCAGTCTATGGATTTCAGGTTCTCCTCTAGAAACGTACCAAGGTCACATATACCTGATGCAACCACAACTTTATAGCGCATAGGGGTAATCTATCGCATATGCACAAACTTCACCCTAAAAGATTGTTCATTTTCCCAAAACGGCTATCTTATATACATGCCGTGTGATGCTACACGGATGAGGCTTTGGCCCCCTTCTTCAAAGACCTCCATCATACACAAAGGCCACACAGTCCCTCGATCTACTCATTCGGATATACTCCAACCTCATCAAGGGATGAATCAGTTTAATCTCTATACCCAAATAACATAAGTTTTTCCCAACCGATTGGCGTAGCTCGTAAAGCTTAATCCAGTATCAGCAAACATCGTTTGCTTAATATGGTCAACACAAGACCACACTCCTATTGAGTTCATGCTCTGCTGACTTCATGCTCCATTATATCAAAAAGTTCAATTACAAGTACTCATAAAGCCTTTAATGGCCCCACATACCTAACATGACATCCTTAGACTGTCTTAGTTCTTAGTAAACTAATGAGCTAATGCGGACCGAGGATACCAGCATAAGATTGCCATGCAGAGCACCATAAAAGGCAGTCTGAGAATGGGCAGCTATGACTGCCTCTGAATGCTTAACAAAGTCAATCTTTGTAGTCTAAAGATTCCAACCTCAGACCGCTTTGGTGAGAGCACCACAGAAGGCGGTCCTATGATGTTAACATCAAACCAACTGGTCACTGCTCCAAACATTATGGCACAACCCTACTATCACAAAACTCAAAAAATTCAGCACCGAGGGGATTTTAAAAATAAAAATAAAAAACCTCAGGTTGACCGACCTTCTGCCTAATTTTAACCCAAAATTTACTCATTTCGTATTTTAGTATTTTTTTGTATCCATACGAAATTCACTCGAGAATTAATACAGGCCTGGCTCCTCCTAGCCCGCCAATATTTTCTCTTATATTTAGTTTTTTTGATATTTTCTAAGGTATCTTAGTGTATCACAATGTATAAACCTCTCTTTCATTTAATTTTTATTTCGATATTTTCTAAATAATTGTTTCGAACCAATCTAGATCCGTGATCTGGCAATCGAACACAAGATTGGCGGGTAAAGGATCTAATCTTTTTTTCCACCCTAACGTGGTCAGTTCCTAACATAATGATCCAATTTTTTAACCCAATCATTCGTGAATGTTGGCTATCAAGTTACACAATTGTTTTAACTGATGAATTGTTTTTTTGTCTTCTAAACAATCAAGAGGTGTGGTGCTTCAAAGAGCCTGAAGGGAATTTTCTCTCTTTGTAATATCTCTTTCATGGTACAAAAATTTGTACCGTGAAATTTTGTACTATAAAATTTTCAGTGCAAAATTTTTACACATATCTTTGTTTAAAATTTTGTACATTGCTACTTTATTTCTTACTTGCATTCTCTCTCAAAAGAAAGGCAACGCTAGTGCTATGTGATCTTGTAAATTCCAATGCATTGACCATACAAGTGTTTCATTATATTATTGTTTGAAAGGAAAATGGTTTGATAGAGCTGCCGTCTTATCAAAATAAGTAGAGCCTCACCTCAAAACTCATAGAAAATTGTAATTCAAGAATCGGAAAACCTTTGCATCGATTATCTCTACTTGAAATTTATGGTTGCAAAAAAAAAATTAGGATTTCAACCTCCAAAAATAGTGCATATTGTAACAAATTATCCAGATTGTCCATTTCGCCTTAAAAATAAATGTTGATAGATCCACAAGATCTGTACCACTTTTTGAGTTTCAAATTTTATTGTCGATGTTGGAAATTGATTTTACAGCTATCATAGAGATTTCCATTGCCGAAAGTGCTTTTCAAATGAGGATTTGTGGGGAGGTTTTATTTTGTTTTCTTAAAGCCTAGGCTTTATAGAAACTTTATCCTTGTTGAAAACATATCAAATTTTCATTGCCCTCGTTTCAACCGCACAATATATCTCCAACAGATGGAACTATCTGATTATTGTTGGAAAGGCCTTATTATCAAAGAGGTTACTGGTCCCTCTACGGGTTAGTAGTTTATCAACAATGAACATTATATAAAACTATAATTATCAGAGTTAATTTATGGTTTTTCATTTGATATTTTTTTCCTTGAAATCGTGAAAATTATTTACATTGAATGCATGGTAGCACGTTAACATTGGGTGTTTTCTTTTTTCATTGTTTTAAAACAGTGATGTGTAAAATATAAAACTCTGCACTATGTCAAGCAAGGGTTAGACTCAAGATATATCGTATGGAAACTTTAAAACATGGGTCAGTGATTTATCACCGTCAAAGCCTTTTCGCATACTTGGTAGGTGATTAAATTTCATGAACTATGATTATTGTCTTGAACTGAAAGGTCACTAAACTCTTACAAATTCTTATAAATGGCAGATAGATTTTGTCTTTAGCTCTGCGGGAGCTTTTTTTTTTTTTTTTCTCTTTTTTTAACATTGCCTTTTTGGGTGCTCTATTGATGTTTATGCTTTAAAAAACAACAAAAAGGCAAAAAAAAACACAATGGAAGGTTTCCACGATTTCGTCTCCTTAAAGGTTTCTAGAGTATTGTCAATCCCATTTAGATGTCATTTCCATTGAAAATGAACTTATGTAATTATGCTTATCCTTTACTAGGACAATTCCACGTGAAATGGCTTTTTGGCTTCACTACATGCTTTAGTAATAGTAATAGAAAAAGCAGTTTATTTATCACATCTATAGCACACAAAGCATTGTGTTTGCCTTTTCTTTTTCATTTTTTGGTGAATTAGTTGAGTCACATGGATTCTGCAAGAGTTCAGCCATTCTAGTATTCTTTTCCTCCGCCACACTTAACTTCAACTTCAAAGTTCTGACAGGATCAAGTGCATTAGTGCTGGTATGACTGGTATGACTGTACCCATTTTGTTGCTCTCAAATTTTGTAGGTAAATGCAGTTGGGGTATTTGAAAATCTATATTGCTTTTGGAGCTTCAAATTTAGTAGTTTATGTAGCAGCATTCTTTTACGCTATAACAAAGGTTGCGAGTGCCAAAATTATATTTTCCCATGGAATTTTAAGGTGTTTATTTACCAGCTATCATGATTTTGCAGCCCCACAGAAATTGTGCCTTTATAATAAAGTGGAATGAATTTTTCTAGGACTAGGCTTTATGAAAACAAAGTAAAGCCTCACCTCAAATCCTCATCAGGAAAGCACTCAGTGCATTGGAAATCTTCATGATGGCTCTAAAATTAATTTTCAACACCGACTGTAAAATTTGATTATCAAAACATAGTACAAATCTTGTAGATCTGTGAACAATTATTTTTAAGATGAAATGGATAGTGTAGATAATATGTACAATATACACTATTTTTAGGGTTTGAAATCCTTTTTTTTTTCAATAACCATAATGGTCAAGGCCGAGATGATCGATTAGAAGGTTTTCTCACGCCAGAACTACCAAGATGATCGATTAAAAGGTTTTCTCACGCCAGAACTACAAAAAACAATTTTGACACCACCCCCCCCCCACCACCTACACTCNCTAACTCACTTCACACGTAC